CGGTGCACACACTCCCAGGGCTCCCTGGGGGGTGGCAGGAGGCTGTGCTTCTCCCAGATCACCAGCAGGAAGGAAGTGCGCCTCCCACGGCCCGGCTGGGGGTCCGGCAGCACAGGGACGACGCCAGTCCCCGTCGCTGTGGAGGCAGGTGGGCGAGGACTGTGCTGCACCTCTCCTCCCTTCCTGGGGAGAGAAGGAAGGGCAGGGCTTCAGGGCTGTCAGACACACACAGCACCTGGTTTTTCTCAGGGCCCCAGAGATTTAAAATCGCTTCGTACTGCTTTTGTCGCAGGTTACGTAGAGTTTATCCCAACAAAAGTACACGTTCTGGAACTGAACGCTCCCTCGTGCCCAAGCTGCTGTCTCCTGGCTGGCCGCTGCACTGCTGGCCTCGCAGCAGCTCCCCGTCGCTGCCCGGGGGCCGCGGGGCCGGCACGTGGTCACTCTGGGTGGCAGACAGGCAGCGAGGGGCCCTCGGCCACCACTCAGAAGAGCAGCAGATTAAAGGTTCCCGTCAGAGGCTGCAGACGAGGCCAGCACCCCCTGCCACGTGCAGAGCTTCCCTGTCACAGAAGCAAGCGGGGTCAGGCGCCTCCCAACCGCATCAAGCCCGACCTTCCTCAATGGAACTGTGGCCGCCCTGCCCCCGCGTCCTGACCGCCACCACTTCTTCCGAGGCTCTGTTGGCTTCTGGGCCTTCAAACACCTGCTGCGCCGGCCCCCTTGGCCGTCAGGCCAGGCCGTGTCGCGTTCCCCTCCTCCCAGGCCTCCAGGGGTCCACACTCGCCCGTGAGGGGCCCCTGAGCTCGGGGTGATGGGCCACGTGCTTGCACCCACTCTGCTCACAGGAGCTGGGGGGACAAGCCCCAGTTCAGCTGGGTCTGAGGCTCAGCTTTCTGCTCCTCCAGCTGGGGCCAGACCCGCCCCCCCACAGGCCCCTCAGAGGCCCGGGGTGGCTGAGGCTGCCCCTGTGCAGCAGAACGTGCCCACAGCCCCGGGGCCAGACCTGCCCGCTGGGCCCGCCGCTCGGCCGCGCACCTGCGCCTGTGCTTCCTGCCAGAAGTCTCACATGTGCGTCTGCTCTGTCCTGTTGTCATGGCGATCAGAACATGCAAAAGCAATACTTTTTGCACAATATCACATGTTGCTTAATGTTTGGACACCGATATCATCTCCAGCTGGGGTTTTCTTAATTTAAGTCAACAAACCAGTCTGGAAGCACACATATTGCTTGTGTTTGGGAACCAAACAAGAGTGACATGTGACGAGAAGACTTAAGAAAGACCCTGGTGTGTGTGTGCGTGCGGTGCTGTGTGTGCCAGGGGGATGGCCCAACCTGAGAAACAAGGAAAGAAGAGGTGACGCTCCCAGCCCCTCTGCTCCATCCCTGGCTACACCCCCTCCGTCGCCCTGGGACTGGCATCGAGACACAGGCACACGTGCGCGCACACACATGCACACACGTGCAGACGTGCACACACGCACACGCACACGCACACACACACGCACACACACACACACACACGCCCGGCATAGCCACTTGGAGAGCTCCCTGGAGCCAGCGCGGAGCCTGGGGTGGCAGCTCCTGCCCCCTCCTTCAGCATCCCACCGCATCGGAGTCCCTGACGACCACTGGGAGAGTCCGTCCTGTATCCTGTGGCCACTTGAGAGTCTGAGCACCGTCCCCCATCCCAAAGTGGCAGCTGCAAGCAAGCTGCTAGGTGGGAAGGTCCCTGCGGGCACCAGCAGCACTGACGCCATGTTTTCGGGATCAATCTTAACTGCTGTCCACATGGAATATTTTTCTTGTGGCTTTTTTCAGTGAAAAAAACATGAATGGGAAACGTTAAAGGCCTGTTAACGACGCCCTTTCATCCATCAAGGCGCCGTCCTCGCGTCCTCGTCCACTCCCGCCCGCCCGGCACAGATCCTACCGGAGGCGACCTGGGTGACGGAGGCCAGACGCCGTCCATCTGTCCGCATCTGGAGCCACAGCGTCCGAGGACCCTGGACGGCTGCCCTCAGTCACTTAGAGACTTGGGTCCTGCAGTTTCTCCAGGCTCCAGGCCTGGCTTTCAACTGTCACCCTGTTTCCTTCAGACAGACAGACAGGGGTTGCTTGGCAGAGTTCCATTTAAATCTCAGGGTCTTTCAAACTGATAACAGGTAAAATTGATGTGAGCTTCAGCTCCCTAAAGAAACTTCAATCAAATGCCTGTGAAGAAGAAAGAAAAACCCTGTTTGGGCCGGGAAAGGCCAAACACAGTTCAATCCTCACCGAGGGCGTCCAAGTGCCCGTCCCCAGGACCCCCCGCCAGGACGGCAGCAAGAAAACCTACCAGCAGACAAGGCACCTGGAGGCCCAAGCACGTCCCAGCTCAGAGGCCACAGGGAAAGGCTTAGCTTCCCGACCGGTCTTCTGGGAAACTCTTCTGAGTAAAAGAAAACAGACTCTGGATCCTTCTGTGCGCCCCACGGTAAGATAACTTGTTACCACTGCAGCTTGAAATCAAAACAGCACTAAGGTCCTGGGCAAGCTCTGAGGTGAAGTGGACAGTCCTCGCCGGCTCGGCTGTGACGTCCTGCCTGTTCCCATGGTGGCCGAGGCTCGAGCTGGCACTGCTGCCTGTGGCATAGCTGCAGCTGCACCAGCAGCCCGGGTGAGTCTGCGGGTGCGGAGGACGTGGCCAGCGGGGCCTGCGCGCCCTGCCTGGGCTGCGCCAGGACAAACACGCCAAGCGGGGCTCCCCGCCCCCTGGGCTCCTCTGAGCAGCGCCTAAACCCAAGGGCTCCACCCGACCACGCCACTGCTTCCCAGAGCTCTTAAGCCACCCGCCTGCTCGGTTCTCTCCCACGCTGACGCTTCAGAGGAAGTTCGGTCTGGGATGACACTGCTGTTCACAACAGGTTAAGGAACAGTGACTCCCTCCCTGGACATGCCTGGCTGCTCAGAGCAGAGGTGCTGCCTAAGGAAGAATGTGGGGTGGAAAACGTGAGGCCCTGGGCGGGAACGGGCACCCGAAGAGACTCGAGCTGGAGACGACAGTGCTGCTAGGCAGTGACCACGCCGCACCGGCCAGCTGCTATCTGTGTCGGCTGCGCGCGGACTCGAGTTAAAAACCCCGACCAACTTCCTCCACGGCGGACCCGCCCCCTTCCCCAGAGGCCTGGCTGCCCGAGCGGCTCCGACTCCTCCCCGCACCTCCCCTGCCCCTCGGCAGCACCAGCCCCTCGTCTTCGGGCGCCAGGGAGTCAGGCTCTGCCGTCGTGTCCCCCCCTCTGCAGCCTCGGACGCGGCGAGCGAGTGGGTCTACGTGACCCTCCCGCCCGTCGTGGGAAAAGCACCAGGAGAGGAACACGACGACCCTTCGCAGCCCCACCTCCCGCGTGGTCAAGGGCAGCTATTTCATTACACGTGTGCTTCCGCAGAAACAAGTATTATTTCTGAATCTTTCACGACCCGGGTGTCTGGGAACGGCGAACACAGCACGCGCTGGCCGAGCGTCTGTCCCGCGGGTCTGGTGCTGGCGGGTCGAGGCCCGGCACTGGATGGAGGGAAACCCGCCTGTGAGGGGACCTGGGGCCGCAGCCAAAGGACTCAGCCTCCTTGCTTCAACATCTCTCTTCACGGGGAAAATATTTTCGTGTTTCCCTGGGCCTTTCCCGTCCTCTGCATTTTCACAAACCTGCTGCCCCTCCAGCGGCTGCGGCTCCAGGCGGCCTCTCGGAGCCCGCTGCCCCTGGAATGGTTCGTGGCCGGCACTCAGGGACGGCTCTGCCAGTGGGAGCCCGGGGCGTCTCTCAAGCGTGTTCTGACGGCTGAGGAGGCCCCGGGAAGCAGGAAAAAGAGCAGAATTTGTGTGGCCCCAAGGGCGCAGCCCAAACTGGTGGCACCAGGCCACGGAGCTGCAGGGTCCCCTCGGGCAGCTTCGCCGGCGGGCTGGGCCCTTGCAGGCTGCACGGCCCGGGACCCTCGCTCGGAGGCTGCCTGAGGATCTGGAGATCACAGCGGGAGTCCCCCGTCCCCTTAAGGGATGCCTACTCTCCAGGCCGAGGCCCGGCCCGCGTGCAGAGGGTACGGGGCCTGCGATGCGTCCTCAGGGCTGACCGCACCGCAGAGAGGCCTGCCCGCCTGCTGGCAGCCTGGACGGCACGTGCCCTGGGGACTGCCGCAGGGCATCTGGATCGGAGTTCTACCCTACCCCACTTTCAAACCCGTCACTGAGCAGAAGTGGAGCCGGGGCTCCCCAGCGCCGCCCAGGGCACCACGGTGGCGCCCTCTACTGGAAGTGCACAGACAGCCCCGCACCCAGGCCCCCAGGCCGGGTGCCACAGGCTGGGCATCGCAGCCTGCGCTTCCGTTCCGGGCAGAGGAGGGGTCCTGGGACTGTCAGTCACTGGAGCAAAGCATTTTCCTTACACAATTCGGGACGCAGCCAACCACCTTCACAGCCCCAAGTGCGAAGGGCACCCCAGGTCCCCCACTCGTCCTCCCAACACATCGGGACAGAGAAATAGGCCCTCTGCTCACACGTGGAGACACACAATTCTCACAGCTCGCCGAGCCGAGGGCCCCCGTGAGAATGGACGGTCGCAGCGGGGAGACTCAGGGTTCCATCCGAAGATCAGACATCTGTGCAGCTCCCTGCAGGAGCACGACTCTGCCGTAAAGAAGTCCTGAGAAGGACCAAAATCAGAAGATAATGCGGAAATGGTCATATGTTATTTTTGAGGGAAAAAATCCAGAATTAACTTGGCTGACCTAAGAAAGGGATGCAATAAATTGTAAACTGGTGAGAAAAGCCTAGTTTGTCTGTGTTAGGTACCTGCTCTTTTGTTGATATTAAGGTACCATGAGATACAGAGTACACCCAAACTGTACCTGTGCAGGGCTGTATTTTTACCCAGGTTTCTGGTGACAAACACAAACTGCTCAAGCTTCCCTGCTGCTGTTTACACTGTCGCAGGCACCCTTGACAAAGACACAGCGTTCTACTGAACACTTGGGCATGGTTTATTTTCTCCATACAACATATTATTTACCCACAAACAGAGCTACAAGTTTCCCTTACGCTTTCTGGATAAGTCAATTATAACCCTAAAGCGACAACACGGTGCTGAAGTATCAGACCATGTGCCCGGCAGATGCTGGAGACGCTCCTCTCTGCCGTCAGTGACAAGAGCTGACCCGCCTTCGTGTGTGACCCTGGACTTCCAGGCTCGACGTCAGGTGTCAGGAAGGAGAGGTCGGCATCCCTCGTCACCTTCTGTCCAGAGAAAGGCTGGGATAGACTCCATTCCTCAGAGAGATGCCATTTCAACCACGCCCACGCGCCAAGAGCTGTTTGTTTTCCCAAATCTTTCTGGCAAGCGGTTATTTTCTTTCCACTGACATGACCCCCGGTGGATGCATCCTGCATTCGCTTTCTGGCAGTTGGAAAAATAAGGCTGGAGAATGTCAGTAAGCGCCTGTTTCCAGGGCCCGTCCCCTCTCCTCCAGCAGCATCATCCCGGCAGCTTCAACAGCCAAAGGAGAGGGCAGGCGGGGAGCACGCAGTGGGCGGACACGGCTGCAGCCTGGGATGGGCCTGCATGGGGGTCCAGGGCCCTGGGGGCCTTGGCTGGCTCCAGGCACAGGTGTGGTGCCCGAGGCAGCCAGCGGTTCCCGGCGGGCGCCGGATGCCCCCTCCTTCCGGGGCAGTCGCCCTCATGTTTGCCAGCCCCCCACTGTCTCAGCCCCGACTTAACAGTATTAGAAATGGAACAGTGACAGTGTGAGAGAAGGAAACAGGTTAGACGCACGGCGGCCAGTCTCTGAACTCACTTTGTCGTAAAATGTGGAAAAGAAGGAGCAGACACGCGGCACTCCTACGGCTCCAGCCCCTTTAACGTGGCAGTGCCGCCGCCTGCCGTGCTCCCAGCAAGCTGTTACTACAAACACTCAATCCTGGCCAGCAGGCTGGGAGCTGGTGGTGCCACCCAGGGCCCCGTGCCAGGCTCTCGCTGGACGGGAGCCCCCTCCACATGCCAGTTTCCCCGCCGGGCTGCCTTCGTGGGCCAGAAGCCACTCTTTCACGGCCACGCCTCCAGAGTAGCCGCCCAGGGCTCCGCTGCTGCAGACGACTCTATGGCACGGGATGAGGATGGGCATCTGGAAAACAGCGAGGCAGCCTCCGTCAGCCTGGGCTCCGGGCCAGCGTGGCCTTTCGGGATCCAGGGCAAGGCCCCTGACCGCGACGGACCCAGGGCCCAACTCTCAGGGCTCGGCCACCGGCAGCCTCTGTCTCAGCACTGCTCACCCCTTGGCCTCTGAGCATCCTGTGCGGGCTGGGAAGGGGCCCAACGCCTGAGGCGAATGGGGGGCATCTTCTAGAGAACCCCTTTATGCTACGACTGGGGAGAAGAACGCTTAATTTCACTCGATAAGGGATTTAAAACAGGCAGAATTTGAAATGACATTTCCAAGTTTAGGTACCACGTAAAATTCTCCAACGCTTCCAAGATGTTAAGAAGAAACTTCGGGGGATGCTGTACTCACACAGGCCCCTTCAACCCAGAGGCTGGAACGTGCGGCCGTCCCCATGCAGTCCACGCCTGCTTTTGTAAATAAGGTTTTATGGGAACACAGCCACGCCCACTTGGTACTCTGTACCTGCGGCTGCTTTTGCAAAGCCTAAAATATTGACTGAACGGCCCTTTATAGAAAAGGTTTGCCGAGCCCGGCTTTACACTACACCCGTGCACTGGGGGGGACCTGCATTCCTCCTTAGTCTCTGGACATGGCAAGTCTGAGAAGCTCCAGTTCCATCTGTTCCCACCTGAAAAGCTGCCACCACCACTGCTGCTACCAGTACCCCACCTGCTGGGATGGGGCAGCCAGCTCTTCCACTGACACCAGCAAGGACCCTCGGCCCATGCCCACCCTCATTCGTCCCACAGGGTTCCCCCCGCCCCACCCCCCCAAAAGAAGCCCTAATGGGAAGACGAAGCTGCTCCTGGCCTTTCACACCTGGAGACAAGCGGAGTAGCCAGGTACCTGCTTAAATCAACAGAGTGATTCCACTAAAAGCAACGCCACTTTACAGCAAAAACAAGTCCAAACACGGCCCACAGAGAACCGCCGACTATCAGAAGGGCCCCCCTGCTGGGACCAAGGGCAGTGACAGCTGCCCAGGGGCCGAGTGTCCCTGAGATGCACCAGGAAACACGGGCCCAGGCTGGGCTCTGTGCGCCCAGTGAAGCTCACCCACGGCCCAAAATGCAGCCGCACCAGTCCCAGGGGAGGGGCAAGGCTGGCCCAGCCTCGGGGAGTGAGGGCCTGGGTCCCGGGAGGCTGGACAGGCAGGCAGGGTGTGGACTGGGCGCCGATGCCCCGAGGACAGGGCCTCCCCCAGCGCCCGGCACCTTCTTTTCCTGGCCCAGAGCTGACACCACACAGACCCGCAGGAGTCTGATACCGCACGCACCAGACTGGACTGGACCCCAGGGCCCGCAGTCGCTACTCCTGCAGCCACTCACAGGCCTAGTTCCCCCTAACCTCGTACTTGCGCTGCCAACCCCACCAGGGAGGGGAGCCCCTGTCCTCTCTGGCGGGGCCTCCTCAGCAGGAGTCCCAAGGATGCGCACGGGAGCCCTGCTTGGGGTCTGTTCCTGGAACGGCAGCGCCGCGGTCTGCACGGAGCTCTGACAGCCACGGGTGGAGGGGCCGCAGTGGCCACTGCCCTTGCCTTCGGTTTCCGCGTGGAGGACCTCACTGGAGGGATGCTCCGGGCCTGGTCTCTCCCCCGCAAACCCCCTGAGGGGAGGACGACTCACTGAGCAGCCACCCTTGGAAGAATGGACGAGAATGCTCAGCTCAGCACCTTGCGGAGTCCTGCAGGGGGACTGCCGGCCCCACGGCATGGGGTACCCTTTTCTCTTCCAAGACGTGGTCAGCGCCCGCCCCTGCAGGGACCAGTGACGGGATGGGGGGTGGGGCGTCTAATTCTGGCGGGACTTCCTGCAAAGCCTGCCATGGCTATGGCCACGCCACCTCTCCAGTCAAGCTTTTATCCTAATAAAGCTAACATCCTTTACTCATGTCTCAGTTGGCTCAGAAGACGGGAGGAAAGAAAGGGATGTAATTACGGCCCCTGAAAACCACAGTGGATGGGAGATGTCTTCCTGGGCAGCCAGTGGACACAGCTTAGAGCACACCCAGTGTGCCAGGGATGGCCACATGCCGGGGGCCACCAAACACAAGGAGTTGTACCCCGTGTTCCCACTGCACAGGGCTCTGGGAGACCAATGGTTGTTCTGCGTAAGGATCCAGACAAGCAGTTACTCAGAGCTTGAGAAGAGCTGCTCTCTGGAGGGGTCTCCCCAGGCCTTGGCAGAGTTCAGACTTCTGCTAAGGGAAGGGTCTGCTCTGGAGTCCCTGGGGAAGAAAGGCTTCATCCTGGGTAGCTCCATCCTGGCGGGAGGAAGGGGCACCGGTGGGCGGCCACTGCAGGCCCAGGGCATGCTGGGGCAAGCGCTCTCATCCCTGCGGGAACATCACGGTGGCCGCTCCACAAGGAAGGTCATAGCAGCGGGCACAGGTACAGGAACCGGGGCCCACTCTGCAGATGTCGCCGGGGTGGGGAGCTGGGCGCAGACCCTGAAAGACCCCACCCATGGGGGGAACCTCCTCTCATGGTATCTGGGCACCCCCTGCTCCCTCGGGCGGTCGTTCCTACTTCTGCCTTTACCGGAGGCCCTTCACTGTGGGTGGAGCAGGGTGTCACCTGCTGGGCACCAGACACACACACACGCCTGCCAGGAAGTGCCCCTCTGTGGGGCTGCACCTGTCCCAGGAGGATGGCTGGATCCCCAGTCCCTGTCCTAGACACGTTGCTCAGTAATGATGCTCTGGGGAGAGCATGCCTGATGTGCACATCGTGACATCGTATCCTCCAACGAGCCCAGACCAGGCACTCTCAACTTCGGGACACGTTAAGCCTCTGGCCCAAGTTGACAAGCTGCTTAGGGGCCGAGAGGGGATTCCAGCCCCACACTCTGTACACTGCCCCCAGGGGACCGCCGAGGTGGGGCCTGGGGGCGCAGGCACGTAAGTAAGTTGGCTTGGGAGGTGGGAATCTGACTTCCCGCACATCACAGACTAGTCCCGCCTTGGACCAGAAGTTAGAGTTGCCATGGTAACTCGCATCGTCTGTGGGGTTCTGACCCCGCACGGGGAGGGCGAGCTCAGACTTCCTCTCCAGTGCAGTTTAACTGAGCGAGAAGCAGACACGCTGCCGAGTCCCGCTGAGTCCTGCCCGCAGCACCCAGCTCCCATCGGCCTGGAGGGAGTAGCGGGAAACTTTAAGAACAGATTGTTTGCCCTGACTGAGGGTTTTTATCAAATACAATAGTACATTAATAATTGCTGGGAGGACATGATTAGGTAATATACAATTCAAGTTTTTGACTGATAAAGAGACAGACGTTTAATTCAATTTAGTCTTACAAACATTTAGGCACCAATTCAGTTTTCCTACCGAACAGCAGATTTCACAAGTGAGCTTTGATTTTCTTCCCTCTCGCCCAACAAGCTATGAAATTGTAACAAAGTGTGTAACATGGACCTTTCTCCCTTTCTATGCAGGACGCAGATAACAGGACTGCTGGCCTGGAACAGCAATTATAAAGATAGCTATGACCAGTCTTCATCTTTGATGGAGAACTGGTGTCTTACCAAACATGCACTATCTTCCCCTCCGGAAATGGGAACACTGCTTCTGCTTGTGCTAATTTTGGTGGCAAGTTTCAGACTATCAAGATGACGACACCTGCTAAAATTCACTGGGGCCCTCAGGACATTTCAAAGGATCTGCACCCTCTATGCCCTCTCCTTTAAAGCCTGTGCTACACGAAATGCAATTTTTATCAAGCACCACGAAGCTCATAATATCACAGCTGCATTGAAATCTTCACGCTGTGAAATTTAATTCATCCAGTGCGCGACTCCATCCCTTACACAGACCCTTTCTCAAATGCTATAAAACTTCCAAACCCATAGATTTGTCTCCAACAAAAATAACACGAAGGGGCCTTTCGATCAATAATGGAATCCCTCTGATTCCGGTGCCGGCTGAATATTTTCTCCAGCTTCGCCTTTGTTCTTGTGGGTAGCAGCCCACAAGGGAAAGAGCTTGTTTTCACTTGCGGCCTCATCAATACCTAAATCCTGGTGAACAAGTGACACCGAGAAGCTGTAATCAATAGCTCCCTGTGCGTTTTTTCTTCTGGTCAAATGGTTCAGCCCCACTGACAGCCCTGACACTTAGAACATGATGCTAAATCTTTATCAACAGCCATCTAGGTGACGGGCAGGACAAGACTCAGGGGGTCATTAACGCTCGTGGCAATCTGTGAATAAACTAACTCCTCAGGAATGCGTTTGTTTAGAAGAAGGTGGAGAAACTCTCTGTGCAAGTATCGATTGCCTTTGAACTGCATTTAGCAAATTCTGTCTGAGGATGAGTGGAAGGGTGCTTTACCGGGGAGGGTGTGAGGCCTCTTCAACCCGCCCCACCGGAAGACGGCCCGTCCCCCAGGCTGGGCCTGGGAGAGGGTCTTCTGGAAGGCTGCGAAACCATTTCACCTGGGCTGTTAATTCCTTCACGGAAAACCACGGAAAAGCCAAGGGCCTGGAATGGGACGAAACTCCCCCACCACCGCAAAAACCGCCCCTCAGCCTGGCGTGGGGAGGGCAGCCCAGGCCAAGAGCACGTGCCGTCGCGGGAGCCAGCACGTGTCCTTTTACCGCCAGCCGCCTAAGGACTCAGCACGCAGTGGGCCTCACAGCGCTCTGGAACATTCCACAGCCACCTGCCGCTCTCCTCCTGAAAGGCACCACCATTCTTCCCGGCCGGAACACAAGATGTTTTCAGCGGGTAAGGCTCTACGATGTGCTATCTGTGCTGGAGCCCACGTGTGTGGCGCTGTGGCCGGGCCCCTGCCATCAGCGCCGAGAAGCGGGACATGCCAGCCGGTCCCTGACTAGGCCCCTTCCTCCCTCAGGTCTCTGGGTCACCACTGAGATCCCTCGGCCCGTTCTGAGGAGGTTCTCGTTTACCAACTTTGTGGGACCCCCCTGAGGACGGCTGATTCCCGCCGAGCTGCCCGTGCTGCACCACGCAGCACCTCCAGTGCCTCTGAGCCACACCTGGAGGCCTCTGTCGGGTCCTCGGCAGCCTCTCATCAAGTTGAGGTCCCTGCATGAGTCACAGGCAGCGCCCAACTACAGAGGGACGCCCAGGGAAAGGCCACAGAGGGCTCACCACCTCCTGTCACCCTTGGCACGGGAGGGAGCTGAGAAGAGGGGACGCGGTGCGGGCAGAATCCTCCCGCCCGAGCGTGTCGTCACGGCCACCCTCGGCGTGGGCACGCGATGGGGATGTCGAGACTAGGACTTCATGGACGGTAGAGTTTTAAGCCCTGTGAGATCCTCTTTTATAAATTTCAGTGGCTGAGGCCACAGTTGAGCAGTGACAGTCATAGAGACTAATAGCAAGAGGAGAGAGTCCCGCTGGTTGCAGGACAATAAATGTTTCTGAACGTCGCCACAAGCGCCATCGGCGGACAACCAAGGCCTCGCCACTGCAGAGCGTGAGAAACTGCGGGCGTCACAGGGGGCAGGTGAGGGGCTGCTCATCTGTGCGTGTCAGTTAGCAGAGCTGTTTCACGGCAAGGATGGGAGCCGCGCCTGCTGATGGGGCGGGCGGTGCCAGGACGCGAGGCCAACCTCAGGGCGGGAGGCAGGGAGGCCGGGAGGGAGGGCAGAAGGACCACGTCTCCGCGTGGGGTGTGAACAGGAGCGCGGCCTGAAACAGGGCTGGAGATGGGGGACAGAGGGAGAATTTCTACACAGCACGGTGACGCCGTGAAGCAGGAGGGTGCAAAGAAGTTAGTCCCCAGAGTTCTGCCTCGAGGCCCTGAGTGGACACCACAGCACGCTCTGGGTGGTCTCTCTATCCAGAGCAAAGTCAAACTGCCCCAAACTGAGTGGACCTGGGAGAAGACGGTGGCCTCCCAGAGGGCAGGTGTGATGTAAGCTTCACTGGGAGACGTGAGTAACTACACCTCGAAACTTGATTCACCGTCACCCCACGCTCAGCGCGGAAACGCGACCCGTAGCGCACAGAGGAGGCGTACGCGAACGATGTAGCTGGGCCGCCGCCACTACGGCACAACAGGTGCAAAACGACATGCTAACCAGATCCACCGGCCTCCATCGTGGAGACCAGGGACACGGGAAGTGGGGGCTGTGTCATCGTATCACATATTGTTCCTGACGATCTGAGATATTTTAATATGGAATAAAACTCTTCTCCGGATCAGATGTACATTAAAGCAGCGCCCCCACTACAGACCTACAGGAGCTGCTGCTTGAGAGTAACAGGTTCCGTTTTGGGAGAAAGGCCAAGAAGCTGCCGTCTCGAGACACCAGCTCTGCCCTCGGGCGGCCGCGAGCCGAGTGGCGAGAGCTGCTGAATGCGGTGTGCAAAACGCCAGCCTCTGCCCTGCGAGCGGGGGTGGAAGTGGTTCTGAAAACACAGCAGGGCCACAGCAAGTTTTTAAAAAGTGGGGCCTCTCTGATTTAGTAACTTCCCATCCCATGATGTGATGACTCTCTTTGCTTTTCCTGATAGGATGGCATTCTTCTACCATATGAGAGACTTTCCTACAGCTTTAGGGAGAAACCATTCCCAATGTGATAGCAGGCCCTGGCGGGCACTGGAGACTAATAAGATCGGGAATATTCCAGGGCCCCATGCAACTGTGTGGGGTCTCCCAGAGGGCCGAGCTGTTGTGCGGACAGGGGTGCCCTTCCTGCCCACCTGCAGGCTCCACAGGCGTGTGTGGCCCTGGCCAGGCCCACGTCACGGCCTCTCCACGCGGACTTCCTCCCTGAGACTGGACAGCGCTTGGCCCACGTGTGGCGTGACGGGGAGCAGAGGTGACCTCTGCACTCCTGGGAACGACAGGCCTGCGGCCACCCCACACTGAGGCCTGACCCTATCCCCTGGGGAGATGGCCTTGCGTGGTCCGTGAGTCCTGCTCTCAGCCCAGCCTGACTGCAGACTCACAGCGGGGACAAAGACGTGAAGGAGCTTGGGGACACGCCCGAAAGCGATGAGTCATCCCAGGTCCCAAGGGCCATGGCCTGGACCTCCTGACGGAGCAAAGCCCCCAGGCGACGGGGATGGGTTTGAAAACACCGCAGCACGTGTATTTTTCTAGAACATAAGCTCTCGTGCGTGGGTCTGTTTTGTTTCCTGCTGCACTCCCGGCACCTGGAAGAGCGTCGGGCACACCCTAGGCACCCAGCGTGCCCAGCTGTCCAGTGAACGAATGGCTGTCTGCTCGCCACTTCTCCAGGCTTCGCCGCCCCGGGCTCCCTGTGACGAGCAGCTCCCGTGGTTCTGACACGCATCGTGGGGCGGGGAGGGTCTCGGTGGTGCGTGGGAAAGCGTCTTTACCACATTTACCCCACCAGTGCCACCCATGCCTCTTCCAGAGGTCCCCACCACAAAGGCTTCCTGTCCTCCCCGCCCACTGCAGCCCGGGCTGCCCCTGAAACCCGCTTCAGTCAGAGGACACTGTGACCCCCTGAGCGCAGTGCCCAGGCCCCCCACTGACCACGGCCATGCTGACGCCACGTGGACGCAAACTCACAGGATTGCTTCTCATCGCCTCTCCCACGGCCCGCGCTGCTTTGGGGTTGCCCGCCAGGGCCGCTAATTGCTGGTAAGAAATCGTCTCTCCGAATTTCACAGCCTTCAGCAGCTTCCACAGCGCCTGTCTGGTGAACGAATCTGAAGGGAGAGAGCAGAGTGACACGATTTGGGCCAACGGCTCCGACAGCTCGGATACAAACGGCTGCCAGTCCTGAAAGAGAGGGTGAGGGCGCATCAACATACACAGAGGTGTTATTCTCGATGAAAACAGCTCCGCACGGCCCTGTCACCGTGTCACCCGACACGGAGGAAGAGGCGGGCGACGCAGGGCACGGAGCGGGCCGGCCCCTCTGCAGGTGTCCCCAACCGTGCCTCACAGATCTGCGATTTCCTCCCATCTTCCCCGAGCGCCAGGCAGGCCCGAGACACGCTCTCCCGGCACCCGGGCGTGTATAAATTAGCAGGCAGTGCGCTCCGTGAGCACAGAAGGCCCTGCCTGCACACCAACTTCGAAACCTTTTGTTCCGCTGGTTAATTTCCAACTTCGGCTGGGACACGGAAGGAAAAGGAAGCCACGGGCTGGGCTCTGATATTATACTAGCTGTCCACATCCGACGGCGGGCAGGCTTAGAATGCCAAACACCACGGTACACAGGGGCTGGTGGTGACCTTGGCTACAGGCATCTGTAATGAGCAGGGCTGCAAAGATAAAACAACTTCATTCCCATCTGAATTGACTAAACCACATCAAATTGCATTCGCTCTTCACCCCGCTGCAGGAATGAAAAGGAAAACGCAGGACAACATTCCCTCCCTCTGCTCCAGGTTTAGAGCTGTTTCGCGGGCGTGGAGTGCGCTGGGGAGAAGCCTGGCATGTGAAGGAGGCGGGTCTGAACCGACACCTATTGTCTTTCCGAAGGGGACGCACGGCGCAGGAGAACTGGACACGGAGCTGTGGCCCCCAGAGGGGGGGCGGGAGCGCCCGACGCAGCAACAAAGGGAAGGATTCCACGGGCAGGGGCGCAGTCCCTGAGTGTGTCCCTAATAGCACTAATTACACTCGGTGCCAAGCTGGCCAAGTGCGATTTGGTTCTTAAAGGAAACACACCCTTACATGCGTGTTAAATAATAAAAATCACTTCTTCACTGAAGGGAATGATAATCACTTCACTGGGAAAGAAAAATCTGTTTAGACTTTATTATAACATTAAGCAAATTAAACATCAGCATAATCCAGGTGATACCAGAAAAGGGTCAGCAAAGAAATTGACTTTGTTGTTCATTAATTTACATGGATTAGCAGAGGGCAAAAAGATAGCAAATGTGCTCTAGTTTTTTATGATATAATTTCAAACTCTACACCGTTTGTGGCAGGAGGGTGACTTTGGGGTTAATCAGACTGATTTGTCCTTTTAATTGCTTTCTATTCAAAGAAAATTCATTAGATAATGTTCTCTTCAAAATTCATGAATCAATTTAACTGAAGAAACCACGTTAACAGCTCTGGGTTCATTAGCACAGGCGGTTGTGTGACTAGCTGATTGCTGAGAGCGTTTCTTTAGGCAAACAGACTCTGTTTACTGTGATTTCTTTAGAAAGGGTTTTGAAATCAAACTGTTCATCATTATCACTGTCGCCCGTTGTTGTGCCTAACTTAAAAAAAAAAAAAGGAAGAAAAAAAGAAAAGCAAGGCAGCTTGGTGATCACTTGGAGAAAAAGGTTTCAGGGATAGCTGTATCGGAAGAGAAACGATAAAAGCAGCACAAGTCGACCCAGCAAGAAGCAGAGGCCAGTCTCCTGCCTTCTTCCCACAGCCCAGCGTTGCTGGTTTTTGCTTTCCATGTTTTGGCCCAGGGAGAGGATGCTGCCTAGGTCTTCCAGGAGGACAGTCTGGAACTTACTAAACCTGCAGGCATACGGTGAGAGGTGTGTGCAGACAGAAGCTGGAGAGACAGAACAGTTCCGAGAAGCCGCGGCGCAGCTCCCCGGCCGCCACCTGAGCGCCAGGCGCTGACGGACTCCTGCCGAGTCACAGAGCGCCCCTCCTTCCAAGGGGAAAAACACCGTAAAGGAAAACAACTGGACGCCCGTACATGAGCGCAGAGTTTATCAAACATTTTCAGCTTCACTGTCAAGTTTTCCACGGGAAACCGTTTCTCACCTTGTATGTACCAGGCAATGGTACTGGGACGAACAGCTCAAGAAATGCAGTATTTGTCGATCAAGCACATCACTGTATAAATGTACCTGGAAACTCAATTCCACCTTGTAGGGAGCAAATGCATTTATTAGTCTAAGCGGTGCTCAGAGCCAGCGCCTTCGCCCTGGACCTGTGCAAAATCAGACCTGAGCCCCACCCCTCCGAACGGGGAGGGGCAACACTCTCGGTTGTTGGTACCATTCTAAAATGTAGCAAAACCTGCTCATAAAGATTACCATGATCGATGTGTAAAATACATTCTCTTGAGGTGACCACATCAGTCTTTAGTGGCCGGACCATCATTTCAGGTGCCCTAAGGGACAACCACTGAAACACCATCCTTTTCTCTCCCGTAAGGTCCTCTGCGGAGAGCAGCTGCAGCCTCCGGAGGCCACATTCTGGGTGTTCCTCTCCTTCCCCATCTCCTGCCTGTTCTGGGGTCCGGGTGAGGTCAAGGTAGGCACTGCTGGAAGACTGCTCCTTAGACAGAGCCCAGGGCTCTCATCACCCTGAGGAGGGAGAAGGACCCCTGATGCTCAGAGCATGGAGGAGCCCCCCTCTGTGCTATTGCCTCTGAACTCCTGTACCGCCGCCCCCAAGCAATCCTGCAGTGGTGGGGGGCCCGCAGGTGCTGAAGGCCCTGAGGAGAAACATCCTTTCTGATGGGAAGAGCTATGGTCCCCAAAGGTGGGTGGACCCACTGCTTTCCCCTTCTTTGTATTCTCACTGCTCGGCCCTAGATGGAAGTGCAGTCGCAGGAGTGTGTGGTAGCACGGAGAGCCCCCAAGAACTGGGAAGGACCAGGGAGACTGCAGAGAAAGAGGCCTTTGGGAAAGCACACCAGCAAGTTGTTTATAGATTCCTGGATTCGCCCCTGAGCTGGGCATGTGTGGATCTGCCACTAAACCCAAGACTCCGAGAACTGAGGTAAGGGTTAGACCACTGCTGGGGTCCTGGAGGGCAGACCTGAACGGGATTGCGGAGGCTACAAAGGAACGGATACTGAAACCACAACCTGCAGAAGCCTGGTCAGGACTCATGGGCTGTATCCAACCAGGTCGAGTGTCTCAGAAACAAAAATATCAACATTACTGTAAGATTTACACAAGACCCAGAGTCTCAGAATATCATATTCAAAATGATCAGGTTACACCCCCAGATTACGTAGTATATGAAGAATCAGGAAAACCTGAACTTGCCTGGGAAAGACAGTCAACAAACGTAAAGGCCAAAGCTGACACAGGAGTTAGAATCACCTGACAACCGCCCCTCTCCCTCAAGCTCTCTGAGGTATGATTAACAAATAAAACTGTAAGATACTTAAGGTGTGATGACTTGATAAACATCACCTGACAACCACTTCAAAGGATCTGTAATAAAAATGCTGTGAGAAGGGAAAATACCCACGAAACAAATGAAAATACAGAGAGTTTTTTTAAAAAAATAGAAGTTACAAAGAAGAATCAGATGGAGAATTCAGTACTGAAAAATTCAACATACAAAACGAAAAAACTGCACTGCATGGGGCTTCTTAGCAGAATGCGGATGCCAGAGGAAGAGCCACTGAGACTGAGGATAAGTCAGCAGAAATGATCAACCAGAGAAACAGGAAAAAATGTCAAAAGCAAACAACAAAAACCAAAACCAGCCTCGGGGACATGTTGGAAAAGCCAAAAGGTCTAACATGCGTGTTACTGGAGTTCCGGAAGGAGACAGAGAAAAGTGTGGTGTAGAAGAAAGAAATAATAGCTAAACATTTTCCAAATTTGGCAAAAGATATACAACCATAGATTTAAGAAGCTCAGCAAAGTGCAAACAGGGCACACCCAAAGAAATCCACTCCCAGACATACCATGATGAAGCTGCTGAAATCTAAAGACAAAGAAAGAAATCTTGAAAGCAAAGAAAAATGTTGCATTGTTTATAGGAGAACAATGTTTGAATGACTACAGAATTCTTATAGTAGCCACAGAGGTAGAAGAACGCAAAATGGCAATTTTAACGTGCTGAGACACAAGAACTGTCAACTTAGAATTCTACGTCCAGTTTTGAAAAAAATCTTTCTGGAGTGAAGTTAAAATAAAGATGTTTTCAGATTAAAAAAAACAAAAGTTAAGGTGTTGCCAGCAGACCTGAAATGCTAAAGGAAGTTCTTCAGTAAGAAGCAAAATAATACCAGAGGGAAGTGTGGAACATTAGGAACAAAAGCAGAACAAAACAAATGGTAACTATTTGGCTAAATACCAAAGACTGTTCTTCTGTTGAGTTCTTTAAAATATGTTTAATGACTGAAAGCAAAACCATGACATCAACAGATAAGATTTTCAATGTACACAGAGGTAAAACAAGACACCATAACATAAAGCAGGGAGTTAAAGGACCTACATGGTGGTAAGGCTTCTATATTCTACTTTAAGGTGGAGAAATATTGATTCCCATTAGACTGTGACCGTTAAGTACGTATCATAATCCCTACAGCAACCACTGGAAAAACTATGAGAGATAATATAGTTAAAAAACACACGATATAAAAGAATGTTAAAATATTCCATAGGAAGGAAAGAAAGGGGAAAGAAAAATGAAAAACCGAGGGAAAAGATAGAAAATGAATAATAATATGTGATAATAAAATGTAATAAATAATAAGATAGCAAATAAAATGAAATAAATGTTTGACATCCCAACCCTAAATGCTTATGTACCTAATGACAGGGCTCAAATGCAGGAAGCAAAAAAATGGCAAAACTGAAAGGATAATTAGACAAATCCATAATTTTACTTGAAGACTTCACTACTTCTCCCTCATAATTCATAGAAATAGTTGACAGAACATCAAGGATGCAGAAATAAAACACACTGTGAACCAACTTGTTTTAACGGACATTTATAGAATAGCCAGTAACAGCAGAATAGATACCCTTCACAAATGCACATGGAA